CTGATACCAGACGTACTTAGCAGCTGCATAAGTAGAGAACTCCTTCCAAGGGGCACAGCTAGCTTTATCCATGTCACCCCAATCAGCAATTGCTTTGATAATTATACCCTCAAATTCCTCTGGCTTCCCTAAAATAGCAGCTGCTTCCATTTCACCTCCAAGTGCTTGTGGAACTTGACGTTGTATTTCATCTTTGTGCTGTTGGCTGGTGTTGAGTGATGACTCAGTGACTAATATATCATCTCCTGTCAAGACATTAACATCGTAATTGATTCCATTGCCTAATGTGAATCCATGATAATTCTCAAATATGTCGTATAGTGTTTCCCCTCTATGGTAATCTTCAATTTTGAGTTCACTTTTACCACCATCCTTATACTTTGCAATTGATATTTCTTTCACTCTGCTTGCAACAAGTATCGATCCAAACTTAGTTTTCTTTTTGCCTTGTTTCATGCCGTAGCAGATACCAATTGCAATGACATATTGAGCTTTCACTACTTTTTGAATCTTCTGGAGTTTATCTAAAGTGACCTTTGTACCTTGACCGGTGCGTATGATGGCAACTTTGTACTTTCCATACATTGCTATGTAGAACATGATTCCTTCTGACCTTGTTTGTGTATATTTCTCTCCATTTATTGGTGTAGCCTGTCCCATGACAGCATTGAACTCAACATCAGTGGCTGTAACAAGAACAATATTGATATCTTTCACAAGATCATCAGTAAATGGCTCATTTTGAATTTTGTTTCCAAGATCTGGACACTTAACATCCGGTGGTTTAATAAATGCTATTAGTATTATACCAATAGATAATTAATTAAAAGGTTTATACTTACAAGCTGAAGCTTTAGCACCACCTTCATTGATCCTATCAACAATAAAATTAAATAATTATTAAACTCTAAGCAATTCTTTCAATCTAATTCTTTTGGCTCCAGCTCCTCATAGCCACTAATTTTTGACTTACCCCAAATCAATGTCTTCACTCCCTTGTCCACCAGTTGTAGTACCTACAGTTGTATACTTGTACATTATATATCCTTCTCTTCTCACACCCTTCCTTCCTCTCTCTCCCTCTTTATAGCTCTCTTAGTAATATAGATCTAATTCATGTCATTACTGCATGCACATAAGTGAGGAAGTAAATCAGAATAAGGAAAGGAATATTATAAAGTGTAAATTTATTACCTCTTATATTAGTAACTGGTGTATTGGATATATCATCAACTGGTGATGGTAGTACAGTATGTGAACTGACATTATCAGGTATAGACTGACCTAATGTATTGAGATATAATGACTATATTGATCACTGATAATGTACACACACACTCACCTAACTGGTGTAATAAAGAGGTAGCAATATCTGCTAGTGTACGATGTTGTTGCTTTATTAATACATGACATATATCAATAAGATACTGTTTTGTAGTAAGAGAGGATTCCAAGTGTCGTTGTATCACAGACACTAATTGACTTGATTTCCTATAATCAGATATTCCTGTTACTGTTTGTATATTCTCTTTAGTATCCAGTGGTATCAGTCCTTCAGCATACAGTGCATCAGTTACTCTGTAAAGGTTAGTAGTAATAGCATCAGTGAGTTTAACAGAATAAGTCCTTAATATATCCTTTGGATTACCTGCAGTAGTGTATCAGTTAATGAGTGTCGTATTAAGTGTATGTTTACCTGTAACTCTAAATATTCGAGTATCACCTTGAGACAATGTAGGGAGAATGTGATCTTTAATATCTTGAGCTAGTCTATTCTCTCTTATTGTAGTCAGTGCATCAATGACATCTCTCCATGTTGCTTTAGGATTGACTGACAACCATTTTGTGTATAATGCTGACTTTTTGTCTTCAATTTTTATGTTTTCTTGTTCAATTTTTAAAATGTCATGCTCCTTCATTCCAACTAAAGTTACTAAACAGAAACCAAATCATTTCCAGTCAACAAGTGGTTCAAGCCATTGAGTTAATAATGAAATATCAGGTCGATCATCAATCATAGGACCAGGATTGAGTTCAACATCTCCTGATAAGAGGAGGAGCATACGTAGACAAACAATCAAATAGAGATCATTGTAAATCAGGTTAAAACTGCAGCCTCCAGGTAAGACTACTGACTGGAGGTAATTTGTATCAGTAACAGTAACACCAGTAGTACATTGTACTTGGTAGCAGTTACCTAATAATAAAATACCAGTAAATATACAAGTACAAAGTTGCAAATTGTTGTTTACCTGTTGGAGGAATCATCAAGATGTGTCTTAATAAAGAGAAAGAGAGAAAGAGGAGGAGGAGTAAAGCAATAAGAGACAGAGCTGCTGGCAGTTTAGATGTCTTCTCTCCTGATGTAGTACTGCCTGACTTGCTGTCTACTGCAGCTTTGAATGAATGAGAGTGGCGGCCATTAGCTGGTCTACTGGAGGCAGCTTGACAGTAGTTCCACAGTCCAATACTTGCTCTCCATTGAGAGACATCGATCATCTTTAAAATTCCTGTATATGTAGACTTAGTAGTGTAGTAAGGGCACAGGAAGTAGATCTGTTGGTTTATTGTTACAGTAAGAGGAGGGAAGAGTTTGTATAGGACATACCTATCAAATTTCAATACCTCACCCACTCACTGTAGCATGTGAACTTTTTATCATTCCCTTCTCTTCTGTCACAATTGTCACCCTTATTACCAGTACATTTTATATGCCTAATTCTAGCATTGATGTCATATTTTAGCAGCTAGTATACACAATATACTGTCATCATTATATGTAAATTTTGTTGTTATAATGTTAGCGATCTATTATTGACAATGACTGAGTATACAACAGTATTATATGTACATGTATTATGCTTTTTGTAAGGAAGACAGATTGTGAATGAGAGATGGGAGGGAAAGGAAGGGAAAGAGAGGAAGAAGTGATAGATAGCAGTAAGTTGTAATAGATAGCAGTAGTACATATGGTAAACTATTAATCTACAAAATTAATCATTTTTTTCAAACTTCATCAGTTAGTACAAAAATAAACCTATCAGAGTCAGGTTGATCTAGCTATTTGTAGTCTCTTGATTCACTGGGTCTGCTCCTTCTAGTTTCTTCAAAACTAGTGGTATAACTAGAGGTGTGATGATAGCACTAGAGATAACACTTTGCACTAGAGCAATAAGAGGCTTTAGTTTTTTAACGTCACCTCCATTAATCCAGGTCACAGTCAATGTAATAGGAATCCCAATGGAAACCATAATAAAAGCTCCCAAAATCACTATTCTTAGAACTGCATAAAGTAACAATAGACTATAATACTTGGTTTATTTTATCAGTTACTTACTTGATTCCCAAATGGAAAAAATTTCTGCTGCAACAAAGACTATTACTAAAAGTAATGCTACATAAGTTATTAGTCCTAGAGCTGTGTAAATATTAGCAACAGTAAATGTTGTAGCTGTTATAAAAGTGATGCTTACCAGAATACCAATTGAAAGCTAAATATCCAACAGAAATAAGGACAAACATTACTACAAGTAGTACTATATAAGCTAGTAGTCCTTCAGCTATGTAAATTAGCA